TGTAGTTATTAGTGAAGGTTAATGATCTTAATTGGTAAATTGGTTGAAAGCATGGTTGAGAACAGTGAAACCTTTTTAACAAGAACAATGTTTGGACCCTCCATAGGGGACCGCTTTAGATGGTTGAGATATTATATCTGAGTTATTTATGAGAATGTCAAATCTAACACCAAATTGGAAAAATTATTTTGTTGATACGAAAGAAAAATTATTTAATGATTTCATGGTTAGTAATTATTATGTTAAAATACTTAAATAGTTTTGTTTTAACTTTTGTATTAAATAATAAATTTATCTAAGTTTTATTGGTGTAGAACAAGTATCGTTTTGCATCAATTTATGATCAAAGTATGACAAGAAAAATTTGGAATCTAACATGCATGGATCGATATTCTGACTCTTTAGTTAAGGCAAGGAAAAAGGCAAAAGAGAAGGCAAATTCAGATAATATTGAAGACTTAAAGGGTTTTGGACCAAGAAGTATAAGGACAAAGATGTGGGTTGGATTAATAGACATATGGGCAACAGAAGAATGGAAAAATAAGTCCATTGCAGGTAAGGCCAATAGGGCTGCCAAGCCTGATGCCATGATGCACACAAGAGGATCAAGAAGCTTTGGACAACACTTGAAAAAATGGTATTCATACTTTATACATTTAATACATTGATCATATAATTGTTAATCAATATTGATTACTAGTTATAAATTGAATATTAGGTTTGATGTTGGTATATTGATGTCTGAATCTTGAATTATAAATTATTTCACAGGAAGAAGAGCATAAACGTCCTATTTCTTATGGTGAATTATATAGCAAAGTTCATAAAAAGAAAGATGGTGAATATGTGTCTAACAAAGCAAAAAAATTCATTGTAAGTGTGTATATTTTATAAATATTAAATTTTGTTTATTTATAATATTGCTAAAATATTGATTTGATGTAGGAATCATATGAAAATGCTATGACTGAAAAATATGGAGAAGATACATCAAATCATCCTATAGTTGATTCTGATCTTTGGATAAAGACTGCTGGTGAAAATAAGAAAAGTAGAATTTATGATATATGTCGGAGTTTGGATCTTGGTATTTCACATGTTTCATCTTCATCGACGAGTGACAGATCTTCTTGGGAGTTGGGGAGGTCTGTGACCTCCCCCTAAAAAGTTTTGTAACTCCCATGAAATTTATGATTTTGGTCCCCCCAAACTTAATGAACATTTAATATATTTACTTGTATATTTACAATTTTATCCTCCCGAGTCCCTCTTCAGTTTTGTAACTCTCATATAATTTATGATTTTGTCATCCTCAAACTTAATGATCATTTAATATATTTAAGTATATATTTACAATTTTATCCTTTCACCCTTTCATCTTCTTACTTCATTTTATATTTATTTATTATTTATTAATAATATATTATTTGGTTCCTCCAAGATCAATGGTCAAGATCCGCCATTGTTCATCAGTTGAAGGTCCCTCTTCCCAAAATCTTACCACACCTCTCACTAAAGAAATCACTACCTTAGCTACACGGATATCTAGTTTGCAAGAGCAGATGAAAACACAGTTGCAGGTACAAACTGATATGCAAGCATCGATGCAAGCACAAATGAAGACACAAACAGAAATACAAACACTCATGCAACAACAAATGCAAGAAGAAATACAGTCTTTCAAGAAAGATTTATTATCTGCCTTAAAGAAACAATGATGAAAACGTACTTTAAACTTTGTTTCTATTTTTAATTGTGTTATACATAACTTTTTAGTTGAAATATTATTTTTGTTATGTTTTAATTGTTTAAAACATCATTTTAACTATGTTTAAACAATACTTTTATATTGAAAATTGATAAGTTTGTTTTCTTTTTTTAAGAATATGAGTAATAATTTAAATCTTAAATATTTGATATTATAATGTTATGATGATACATTAGCAGAAATATTTATTACACCAAACAAATTGTGAGAGATTAGTTACGGATTAGCGAGATATTAACTACTGATTAGTAAGAGATTAGTTACGGACTAACGAGAAAAGAATTTTGATAAAAATTGTGAAGGATTAGCTATAAAATAGCGAGAGAAACATTGCGAAGGATTAGCTACGAATTAGCGAGGAATTAAACACATATTAGCTAGAGATAAATTGTTAGGGATTAGCTACAGATTAGCGAGAGAAAAATTGCGAGGGATTAGCTACGAATTAGCGAGAATGAAATTGCAAGGGATTAGCGAGAAAAAAATTGCAAGAGATTAACTACGAATTAGCGAGAGTGAAATTGCAGGGATTAGCTATGGATTAGCGAGATGGAAATTTCGAGGGATTAACTACGGATTAGCGAGAGAAAAATTGTGAAAAATTAATTACGGATTAGCTACAAGTTTTTGGAGATCAAATTAGCTAGAGATAAACAAAATTTCATCATTTAAATTAGCAAGGGATTTAGCGACAAAATTTGCTACAAATTTGAGAGAAAATACATTTGTATCTAATTAGCTACTTGGATTTAGCTACGGACTATTTCATAGTTATTTCGTAGCTAATCTGTAGCAAAACATACCAGCGAGAGATTAATTATAAAATAGCTACGGAATGTGTCGTAACTAATATGTAAAATTCTTATAGTGAAACTAAATCTATTGAGTCATTTCTTCTTTTATATTATGGCTAACATATTTGTCTTTCCATTAAAGATAAAAACATTTGCTTTCTACCATTTCCAATTATTTTGAGTATTATATATTTTCCACACCTCATAAACAGCTTGGACATAACACAAATTTACCTTGGAATCACTTATTAAAATTGAAAATAAAAACCAAAATTTGCATACATGTTTTTGAAAGCTTATCATGTCTATTTTAAGAATATGTAAAATCATTTTTGTGCATATCAATACCAAAGTACAAAATTGAGAAAAACACATGTTATATATGCCCAAAATAAAACGAGAGAGGTCATCTTACACGTCCAAGATGGACTTTTTTTTTTTTCTTAATAAAAGCTTAGGCATCACTGCTTATGAAATATAATAAAGAAGAGAAAAAAAATTACAAAAAGTACGAGGATTAGATCAAAACCTGTGAAAATAAAAGACTAATTAAACCTATATTTTGGGAGTTGTATTCTTTTCTTAAAAAGTCCATAGTGATAAAGAGATAGACACAGTTTTACTCTTAAATATGACTTTATTTTTAACTTATTTTTCAACAATATAAACATAAAATTTGCAGTATTTTGTGTCTAGTTTCATTTAAAGCAAATTTTACAAAAATCCAACTGTTTGATTGTAAGAAAAATGTTAAAACGTATGATTTGCTCTAGTCAAAACAAAATTCCAATGGTTGTCTCACTAATTTTGACTTTGAATTTCAAGATAAATTTTTTTCTAAAGTTTTTATATCCAATTTGAGCATAATCTGTTGTAAATTTAGAGGCTTCCCAAATAATTAATATACTTTTTCCTACTTTTTAAACTATCTTTTACCCTTTTATGTTTTGAAATCATTTTTATAAATTTTTCCTTTTTTCTATACTTTTTTTAATATTTCTTTTTTATTTTTCAAACTGTTTTTACACTTCCAAAATTTTACTCTATTTTCATACTCTTTCCTTGTACTTCCAACTATTATATACTTTTTAAATATTTTTAAAACTATTATTATACCTTTTCAATATATATATATATATATATATATATATATATATATTACATTTTCTTTATTTTAAAATTATTTGCATATTTTCACATAGTTTATAATTTATTTGTATATTTTAAAATATTTGCGCGGATGAAATAAATATAGAAAAAGTGAAACATTTTCTTACAGATAATATATCCATCACAATTACTGTGACAACCAATATATAAATATATATTTATATATTGAAAAAAAAATATTTTTGAAGTATATATTGAAAGTCCCACCACGGAGAAATCCAACAATATTTACACAATTTTGAATACTCGCCATTACTTTTTGATATTTGCCAACTACAAACGGCAAAGTTTAGTAGTTGAAAAGTATATATAACAATTGGATGTAATTGTCCACGCGCTCTCTACTAATATTTTGTTTTAATAAACGATTATATAATTTGTATAAGCACATTTTGAAAAATTTAAGAAAAATTATTTGTAGATAAAGTAATTTGTGACGTATCTTTATATAATTTAATTTTTTTCTAAATTCTTATTTTTAATTTATTTCTAGTTTATGAAAAATTATTTTATTTTTTTCTCATTTTTCTTTCTAAAATAGATAAGAAGAAGTTTATTCAAACAAACTATTATTATTACATCATTATATAACTAAATCTTTAACATCCTACAGTATTCTTTTGCATATTTTAATTTTTCTAAATTATGATAATTTTTCATTTTTCATTTTTTAATTTGTGATTTGTGTTTCTTTTTCTGATTTATATTCAAATTTTAGTCTTTTTATTAAAAAAAATCCGACTTTAATCTACTTCTCATATTTGCTTATATGTTTTCAATTAAACCTTAAATTAAAAAAAAATCATACTTAAAGAAATAATTTAATGAAAATGTAAAATAGGAAAAAAAAGTTTATAGAACAAATTATCAATGAAATTAATATTGTATATTTTTTAAAATATAAGAAGTAAAATTAAAAAAAAAAACAAATTGTAGATAAAATTAATAAAAAAAGTCATTTCCTTTAAAATTAAAAAGTCTTAATTTATCTAGGAAAACATTTTAGACAAATTTTAACGTATTTTTTTCCTTTTTTTATTTTTTTAAAGATTTTTTTCTTCCTTTCTTTGAAAAAGTCATTTCCTTCATTTACGGTGAGGCTTTCTAGGAACCTACAAAATGAATACTTAGAAGAAAAAAAAACGCGTGTAAAATTCAACTCAAGTCAATACTAAAATTTTCTTTATAAAAAACAAACAATTGGGATCCGACATTTGAACAAAACTGATCGTTACTAATTCACTTCCCCTATCTTCTCTATTTCCAATATGGGACAGAAGAAGCACCTTCGGGACTTCATTTCTGAGGCCAAGCATATCATCAAAGCACACATTCGTCACTTTCTCGTTCTCTCTCTCACCTTCCTCTTCCCCCTCTCCCTCTCCCTCCTCCTCTCTCCCACCCTCTCTGACCTTTTCAACAATCTCTTCTCCAACAACTCTCACACCTTTCTCCCACCACACACCACCAACCCCACCTCTCTCCTCTATTATCTTTTCCTTATGCTCTTCTCCAACGGTGGAGTCATCAGCATCACCTACAGCGTTTACCATTTCTTCCACGACCAACCCGTGAACCTCGTATCCTCCTTCAAGTCCATTTACAGTTTCTCCCTTCCCCTCCTCGCCACAACCATCGTTTCTCAGCTCATCTTATTCGTCATCTATCTTTTCTATGGGCTTCTCTTGCTTCTTCTCATTTCCCGGGCACAGTTTCTCCACCTAACACTTCTCCCACACTTGTCCCCTTACATCATAGGGTTCTTTATCGCGCTTCCTTTGATACTCGTACAGATGTATTTGCATGTTAACTGGACCCTGGTGTATGCTATTGTGGTGGTGGAATCATGTTGGGGTTTGGAGCCCCTGAGAAGAAGTGCGAGGTTGATCAAGGGAATGAAAGGAGTGGCTCTATCTTCTATCTTCTACTATGGAAACTTTGCGGTGATCTTTGTGTTGGGCTGCTTTTTTGCGACGAGGGGATATAATTCATTTAGTGAAAGTTGGATTGCTACGGTTTTCAATTGGGTGATGATTGTGACATATGCTTATTTCATTGCTATGCTTATGCTTTCTCAGATTGTGGTTACTACGGTCTTGTACATATATTGCAAGGCTAATAATGATGTTGAGATTGCAGAGGAGTTTGGAAAGTACTACATTAGCTTGCCCTTCGATGATGGAAAAGTCTCGCAGGTTGTTTAACCTATTGAAAACTCGATGATGTAAAAGTCTTTGCTTTATTTCTATTCATCTACATAATGCCCTGCTTATAAGCGTCATGGATGCTGTATATTTTAAAAAGTGAAACAAGAACGTTTATCATCAATCATAATCAAAATTATCAATAATGAAGAGGTTTTCTCTTAAACCGTGTAAGATAAACTTTCAGTTCTAATTCAAACAGGTACCTTTTTTTTTTTTTTTTTACTTTTAATTAGTTGAAATTAAATATCAAAATTGTATCAATATTTTATATACTTTTTATTTATTTCTTCATTTTAAGAATTTTTTTATTTATCTTTTCATTTTAAGAATTCTCGGTAGCTTGTCTACCAGTTTTCTTATAACTTACTCGAAGGCATAATAACCAAGTTTTAGTCGTGAGATTCTTCGGCTAAAAGTTTTATAAAGAATCAATTAAAATACAATATTTGATTACTAAACATTAAATTAAAAAAAATAAAAATTATATTTTAATCTATTTTATATATATATATATATATATATATATATATATATCAAATTTAGATTAGTAATTTTGTATTTTAAAAATATTTGTTGACTTAAGTTAATTGAAATTATTTTAACGTTTAAACTTCTTATTTTTTTATTCCAAACATTCCATATCTAACATCAACAAATAAAAAAAATTATATTTTTTATGTCATAAAAATAAAACTATAAAAAAATATGAAAAAATTGTATGGAAAATTTTATTATTTTTATATTACAAAATGAAATTCTTAAAAATGATCAAAGAAAAAGAAAAATATATATAAAAGTGTTACATTAAAAAAAATAAACAATGAATATGAGAAGAAAAAGATTTGAGGTAAGAAAGTGAACATGTAAAATATGAAAATGTAAAACTATCAAAAATAGAAAATTAAGAAAAAAAAGTATAAATAAGGAATTAGGTGAGAAAAATAAAATAATAATATTTATTATTATTGTTACTATTTAATAATGAAAGAAAAAAATTGTAATGAGTAAAATAAATAATTTTTTTTAAAAAAGTAAATTTATTTTATTTTAAAAAAATTATATTAAATAAATAAAATAAAATTTTGGGAGGGCATTAAAATCCCAATCCCTAAATTTGTCTCCTGCTACTTATCGTTATTTTGTCAAATTTCCTTTTACTCTTGACTTCCATGAAAGACTTCTATACTTCTTTAAATACACAAAAGCTAGATGTTTATATGAGATTGAATGTCTTCAGAATTTATTCTCTTAGCTTAGAATCTTATCTTAAAAAGCTTCTTAAAGTAGGGAATAAAAATTTCATTTATCCTCAATTTTTGTTTTATGATTTTACATTAATTAACCTATTTCAATAACATATTATTTAAGCTATATAAATATTTATTTTGTACTTCATACACTACATATTATATAGATAAAGACTTAAATTATTGCCTAGTTTTTTTTACTAAAAAAATTATAAATTTGATTTAATTAATAAATAATCTTAATTTAATTCTTGAGTTGATAAAATTTACTGTGTATACAAAATTATTAAAGTAGATAATTTCACTAGAAAATAGTGTTTGAATGATATACATGTGTCTGAAAACTAAATAAAATTAAAAAGTATAGTAAAGATATTATTTTTATTGTTATTGTTTCCATGACCATTTCTTATTATAAGTTAAATTTTTAAGTTAAAAACTGGAATTGAGGTGAAAAATATAATAAATATTTGGATAGATAAAAAGTATTATTATATGAATATAATAATATACTGCTCTGTAAGAAAAACTTTGGGTGAGTAAACAAAAATCTCCCCCTCCACTTCAATTAATTACCTTATCTGTTTTGGGTTGTTGGAGGCCCAACCCAAAAGAGTATTTCAACCCGACATTCATTTCCGACTATGCGTATTGAAAAGCACGAACCGTACCTCGCTCTTTATCGCCGTCTTCGTCGATCTTCTCCCTTTCGATCTTCCATTTCCTTTTAATTATTGTTTGTAATTCTTCAATCGAGTACCTATTTCGTTTAATTCCCGCTATCTTCTTCCGGTTCATTCCAAAATTGTCACCTTTTTCCTCAATCGTTGTCGTGTCTAGGGTTAGGGTTTCGTTTCGGTCTTTCAAGGACACACGATCGCTGTATTTCCTTGTGTATTCCCCCAAACTCCTGGTTTTGGTTTTGACTCGCTTGATATTTCCTCCCAATTCGACATAATTTCGGGACGCGATTGCATTCTAGGGTTTCGGACCGGTAAACTTTTAGGGTTTTCTGATATTTGAATTTCTGGTGGTTTTTTCTGTAAATTACTTGAGGGGTTTGATTCCTCCTCATACGTGACGAAATTTTAGTGATCGTATTGTTTTCAATTTAATAATTTTCGGAGCGAGGCAAGAATCTAGGGTTAGGTTTGAAATACATTCTCTTGTTATTGTAATTAGGATAATTCAATTGGGACACGCTCTTTGGCATCGAGGGGTAATCTCTGCTGTGTGATTCTGTATCCAATTACGCCTTTAATTTTCGTTTGACCCTAAACTGTTCTCCGAAGTGCTGTGTTGGCCGGTGGTCTTAAATTTGAATTTTAAGAATTATCAAGGTGAGAATGATTTGTGTCATTCCTGCATTATTGTTGTTATGTATTTTGTTTGGGCTTAATAAGCAATTGTGTTCATTCAAGTTCTGCAAAAGCTTCATTTCGATATGCTGCTGTGTCTTTAATGTGCTAATTGCACTATAATGCTATGAACATGATACTTTGTTTTGTAAATGGGATATGATAGGCTGGCAGGTGGGCCTTCTTCATCATAATTTTGTGCAGAAGTTTAAAGAAACATAGTACTGATATTAAAACATATGACTGATGGTTTCATCAAGTATATTATATTATTTTATTAGATTTCTTCAATGTTTTTTCTAGAAGTTACCGTTGTTAAATAAAAAAAAAAAAGGAGAGAGGAGAGATATGTATTGAGCCTGGTACATCTATCAGCAGGTAACAGTAATGGAAATTCTAGCTCCTTCATTTTCTATTAGGTTTAGTTATTGTTTATTTCCAATTGAAACAGCCTCTCCATCATTTATGGTGAACATATTTGTAGTTGGTTAGTGTTAACAAATCTTATGTTAACAATTGTGATCTATTTTACTTTCCATGACAACATATATACTGTGAGCTCAAAGGCAAACTTTCCCGTAAATACAAAGTCATTTGTGCATCAAATGACTTTATTTATTTGGTAAAATTGTTTTTTAATACGTACCCCTAATTACTGCACAACAGAATCAGAATGGGGTATAAGAGATGTCTTGAGGCTAATGAACTTGAGGATCTTTCTTTGAACAAGGCAAAACGTTTTGAATGCAACAATGAACTGGTTTCGTTAGATGATATTGTTACGCCCAATAAGGCCTTTGCAAAGACTGTTATTACAGGTAAATAATGCTTTTGTTTTAATCTGTTTTGATATTTTTTAACTACTTTAGGTTGTAATTGGCCTGATTGAAAACTGTCTGATAGTTAATGTATTATAAAGAATATTCTTCATTTGGTACATAGGCGATGGTGAAGATGGCTTTTACAATATTCAATGGTTTGATCCACTTGAAACAGATGCTGCTAAGGAATATGCGTATACTGGTGACGAGAATGTTCAAACCAGTTCTTCTGGCGATGATGATACTGGGTCTGGGGCCACATCATTATCATCTGCTTCGTCAGATTGTTTGGAATTTGAAATTCCTCAGAAAGCATTTGTTCCTATGGATGATGATTATCTGGCCTTTGATTGCTCGCCTAGAAAATCAGTACCCATTGGTCAAAATCACCAAGCTGTCATTCCTGTTTGGAGGAGAAAAGTGAATAAGATGTCAGAATTAAGCAAATATAATCATGACAGTCCTTCCTCTGGCTTAGTATCAGCTCATATTATTGATGAAGATGAGGATAGACTCATGGGGACTTCTGTGCTCTCAATGCATGAATCTAGCTCTTATTCTACTAATGAGAGTGGACAAGGCAGGAAAGAGTGTAAGTGCTTGGATCGTGGGTCCGTCAGATGTGTTAGACAGCATGTTAAGGAAGCACGTGAAAATTTGATGGAGACTCTTGGGAAGGATAAGTTTGTGAACTTGGGATTTTTTGACATGGGAGAGGATGTTGCACAGCAATGGACTGAAGAAGAAGAAGACATGTTTCATGAGGTTGTCTACAGCAATCCTGCATCATTGGGTAGAAACTTTTGGAAGCATTTGTCAGTCACTTTCTGTTCTCGAACCAATAAGGAAATAGTCAGCTACTATTTTAATGTTTTTATGCTGCAGAGGAGGGCCGCTCAGAACAGGTCCAGATGTTTGGATATTGATAGCGATGATGATGAATGTAATACAATAAACCCTGGATTTTTTGGTTTTGAAAATTCAGATGATTCTGCCATTGAATCTCTTGGTGATCAAGATGTACATGTAGAAAACCAAGATAATTATTCTGATGAGGATGATGATAGTGATGATGGAATTGAAGATAATGTTCTTGGTTTAAGTGGATGTGATATGAGAAACACCACTGAGATTGAGGGTGAGATTGATCAAAGTTCATCAAATTGCAAGGTGAACTCCCAGACGGAGGCTTGGAGTAATCCTGATGAACATGTCAATGGGACTCCTGGGATTCTGAACTACAATGTTGTTGTCCAGGATGACTCCTGTATGTCCTTTGAGTGTGATGCCAATATGGTGTCTTGCAATTCTCATGGGTTTGGATATGCTACTTCTGCCTTGCAAACTAGGGGATTTAAATGTGATCAGAGTCCACGTATGCAGGGAAAGCTTGATTTGTCCAGCAATGTGATGGACCATGCTTATTTGATGGATCCCTGTGTTGCTAAAGACTGGTATCATGAGTACACAACATGTCCGGCTCCAAGTACAGATTTAGACTTCCTACCTACGTCCAATTTGATTGAAGAGTTTTTTGGTACTCTAGATAAAAATACTGTCAGTGACTGAGGTATTAGCTCTTTTAGTTTCAATGGCACCCGCATGACAGGTTCAGTCAGCGAAGTTATTTGAGTAGCAGGAGGAGCTACTTGAAAGTGGTGGAGGTTTGGTATAAAATACAAAATCCAAGGATGTTATTCAAAACCTTGTATTCTTTATTTCTTTGTTTTATTATTTTCTGTTATGCCAGAGAGGAGAGGGTGAGCGTGAGGGGGACAGAGGTACATTTTATGTTAATTTGTATATACTTGATGTTAACCTCACTGCTTCCAAAAAAATTAAGTTCTCCCCGCATCTATTGTTCATTGTTCTTCCACACAATTTGTATGATATATTGTATAAATCCAGTTTGCATTTGAATATTATCTCGTGTTCTCCTAAATTTGAATTTGAGTCTAAGCAGCTAATATTTTTTTGTATCATTTCCTCGAAACAAATGAGGTATCTTTTGACTTAATTTTAAGAAATACAGACTTGTTTTTTTATAATGTATTATTACTCATTAGGTTTTTATATATATATATTATTGATTTATCAATGAATAATTCTTTTATCGTAATTTACTATGATATCTAGTAATGAGTTACACATTTATTCTCTAATACAATTTTATTTATCTATTATCATTACCTAAATTAATTAATTATTATTGCTTTTGACGAATGACTTTTTATATATGAAAGACAAAAGAAAGTATAATTGACGAATGACAATTCAGTTTGTTACTATTTGGTTACCTTTGTTAACTTATATGTTTGGTTATTTTACTGTGTTGATGGTATCTAAAAGATAATAAAGGGCATAGAAGAAAGGTACTTCTCCCCCTAAAGAAGGAAACGCAGTGTCCCTTAAGATTTATTTTGATGAGAGATATATTTCTATTTTTTAAATTAATAAATTTTAATTTTAGTCTTATAAAATATTTTTTTGAGTTTTATTTATCAACATATTAAAATTTAATGTTTTATTTATATTATCCTCAAATATATTTTTTATTAAGTGCATTAAAATATTTAAATAGAAAACTAATGATTTTAATTTTTGATAAAGTTAAATATATATTTAACAAAATTTACTACTAATTATGATTATGATATTTAATTTAATAATTAATAATTATTATATATTTTTTAAAAATGTTCTTGTATTTTATTTATATAAATTTTGTATAGTTCTTATTTCTTTTGTTAAATTAAATTTTGTATAGTTCATATATGAAAAATTATCATTTTATTTAATTTTTGTTTCTACGTTGTATTTAAGCATTTAACATCTATTCAAAAATAAGTCTAACCTTCCTGAATATACAAATACAATTCGAAATTTATAAATTAACCCGTTAACATGACAATAACAAAAAATGTTGTGAAAAACAGTTTTATATAGAGAGAGAATAATAAAATTTTAAAATATTTTACTAAAAAAAAATTATATTTTTGAAAAATAATTTAATCTCTGTATTTTAAAATTACAATTTCTCTAATAATTCGTTAAAATAGCTATATTTTTGAAATTGAGAAAATAAAATACAATGGGCAGCTAGGTAGAGAGGCCCAAGAAACAAATCTGCAGTTGAATTGCAAAAGGAAGAAGATATGAAGAAAACTAGGAATCACACCCATTGCATTGGAACAAAGACACGTCAAAGGCAATTAAATATGGTTTTGAATGAAGGGGACAAATTCAGCTGTATGAGCTTAGAAGCAAGACAATCTAAGACATAGTTTGGATGTTTCAGTTTTAGTGTGTCATATATGTGGCACTAAAGCCTAGAGATCCTCAAAACAATCCTCAAATCATGACCGTTCAATTAACTCCCAATGGTTCTCACACAATTACACGTGCAGCCTATCGCTCCTTTTCTTATTTAATTTAATTTATTTTCTTTCTCATGCATGGAATTCTCCTCCAACTACTACATCCAACACAAGATAAACCATAAAACCAAAGAGCAAAATAACATTCTAGGTTAGTTAGCTCTTATATTGCTATGAATAACTATTGTTCAAGCCACTGCCAGTGGCAAGTAACCATCAAATTTGATCTGTTTTTATTTTTATTTGTCACTACATATACCCATTAAATTTTGAGCATTCTATAGGGAAACGGAAATTAAGGGGTCTCTCCCCTTTTTGTGGGTTGGATCTTGTACTTATGGAACTGTCACATCTGACCATTTTGATTCTCTTCTGATCATCACCACCACCTGGTTAAAAAGCAAGCAACTTGGTGATCTGAATTTTGTCCCTTTCTCCTCTTCTCTGCTCTCTCCTTCTTTCACCGTTTTGGGCGGGGCTAGAAACATGATCATGGATTGAATGCTTATTGTCCTTGCAGATTTGAGGTTTGTGACATAGTTTGTTGGGTATATCTGGTTTCAGGGTCAGATTCACATCACCTCAGTCCATGGAGGAAAGGAAGTATGTGTGCAAGTATTGCAGCAAAAGGTTTCCTTGTGGGAAGTCTCTGGGGGGTCACATCAGAACCCATATGACTGAAGAAAGAAGTAATGCTGACGCTGACATGTTCATCAAGTCGGATGGTGTGAGGAAGAAGAGAGATTTATGGTGTGAAGATGTAGTTGGGAACCCCATTTATGGCCTCAGAGAGAACCCCAAGAAAACAATGAGGTTTGTGCATTCTGGTGGTGCCAGGGCCAACTATGAACAGGGGGAGAGGTTCTGCAAAGAATGTGGAAAAGGTTTTCCATCACTGAAGGCTCTCTGTGGTCATATGGCTTGTCACTCAGAGAAGGAGAAGAGAACCATCAAGTTTGAAGACAGTGATAAGAAACTGAAATTGGTTATGGATAGTCAATCTGACACAGAGACTTCTGCTCCATCGCATCCAAGGAGATCCAAAAGAATGAGGGTGAAGACCATTAACCTTTCCGATCAACCTTTTTCTTCTTCTTCTTCTGTTTTTCCGTTGGCCCATGGCTCTTCACCCGTGTCAGAGGTGGAGCAGGAGCAAGAAGAGGTGGCTAGGTGCTTGATGATGCTGTCTAGAGATTCTAGCTTTAAGGGTCGTTTTGCTTCTGTTACTGAATGTTCTGATAACAACTCGGTTATTGTAGAAGCAAAATCATCCTCTCCTGATACACGGATTGGTGTCAGCAATGGTAATTATAACAACTTTCTTTCTAATAATACTTGTGATCTTGTTGACAAGAAGTTTCTTAGGTTTAAGGATATCAAGTTGAAGTCTGTTGAGTTAGGTGCTTCTGATAATTCAGGTTCTAGATATTTCAAACATAGTCCCAAAACCAAAATTGTAGACTCGGATGTCTCAAATGAAGAATTTAAGTGGCCCAAAGTGGGAAAAAAGTCAAGCAAATACAGTGCAACTACAGTAAAGAAATTAGTGATGGAGGATTTGGATTATGATAGAACAGATGAAACTGCAAGGAAGTTTGATTCAAGAAAGAGAAGCAATTATGACTCTTTTAATCACAATCTAGTTGGGGGTTCTATCAAGAAGGTAGCAAACGGTTTCGGTAACGAAGTAAATGGGAATGACACAAAAGATTGGAAGTATGATTCTTTGGAGGGTGAAAGGGACTATGGTTCTTATGATTCCATAGAGGAGAGCCATGAAAACAGTTCAGAGACAGAATCTTATCCTGCTCCGAGGCCTCACAACAGCAAGGCTCTCAATGGAAAGAAGTACACCGGCAAGGCCAAGAGGAAGTTGAAGTCTAAGAAAAGCAGGGAACATGAGTGTCCAATCTGCTACAAAATTTTCAGGTCAGGTCAAGCCTTGGGAGGTCACAAAAGATCCCATTTCATTGGGGGTTCTGAAGAAAACACTTTGGTTATTAAACAAGCTGCTCCTGTTGTTCCTTGCCTGATTGATCTCAATCTACCTGCTCCTGTTGATGAATAGGGAAATGGGCATCCTGGTTTTGCATCATCTTGAAGCATCTGCTGTTGAGGTACTTGAATGAATGTCTCCAATTCTTAAGAATGTTTTGTCTTTATCCCATTTGATGAAAGCGATTGCATTGTACAGCCATGTGGGTAAAGGATTTTTGTTCTTTTAAGGCTTTTATTATGCTTTATTTGGTAGGAGATAACTGTTTTCTTAATGTCACATGACAATTCGGTAGTATCTCCACTGAAGTATTTGACTCTTCCTATAACCAAGAATAGTCTCAGTGTTACATTCATTTGCTGCAAATAACAACTTCATGCTTCACAGATTCAATTAATAAAGTCAGATTGTTTGTCTTTCCATGTTTATTAGTTTTGCTTATATCCTCTTGTGGAAATGTAGAAAACATGATTTTAAAAATTTATGGCCAATGCATCTTGCAAGTGATGATAAAAAACCTAAACAATACTAAATTTTCAACCCAGTTTTATGCTCTTAGTTACTATTTGCATTGTCTGACGGGTCTGTTGGCCCGCAAGACTGTGGAAAATGGATATTCTAGTTTGTATTGATATGAATTTTTCTTTCGTATTGCAACCTAACTGAAGCGTGTTCCTTCTACTTTTTTAAACTAGAAGAATCATGTGGAGAAAAAAAAGGCAGTGCAAAGGTCAAAGACAAGTTAAACTTTATTTGTTCTGTATTTCGGTCCAATTTTGCTACCCACCAAGTTTGTATTGTGACCAAATTTACCCCTTCAACACTAATACAGAATTCAGCACTATATAGGTGTAGTTTCTAACAGGAGATTGGTTAGTCCTCAGACCAGAAAGTTATATTTTGAATTTGATCTAATCTCATTATTACTATATAAAAAGCCAGTTTGATTATTCTTATCAGTATGTGTAAAGTTGAAGATTTGACGAAGAGTAAATAGTATGCAAAGACTATGAGAACACCCAGTTTATAGTTTTTTATTATTGAAGACAAAATTATGGATCAAAGAGGTTGTAAGGTCGCCTACCACTTAAGGTAGCAAAACTTATAACTGCTCCATGTGTACATATCTAACACGTAATTGTAATAGCAGCAGAATTCATATGCCTTTTGCTCCGTGCCAATTACTATGTGTTATTCTCTATTCAATTCTTTTACCCTTTGGAGAGTAGGAGAGGACCACCGGTATTATAGTAGCTCTTGCATTCATGTGGGCTCAAGACAGCTCGCACCAGGTAGAAGAATGCAGAGGCACTCAAGAATCAAATACCATGTAAACACACTTTGGACTCATCACAAGAAAAGCCAAAAGATTAATGCAGCTGTAACTAATGGCCTGTTTAGCATAGATCATAGGAACAGAATGGATAAAAAAAATGAGTGGAAATAAGCACAACATAAAATAAACGTTAAATATGTAAGTTATTGAAGAAATAATGAAAAGAAAGAATGTAAGAATAGAAGAAGTAAAGTTAAAAAAGTTATTGCTCAAACTCTTCCACTTTTTGTATTCTTCTTCTTTATTTCTTTCCTATCAAATAAATCAACTCAAACTTCATCTTTCTATTTCTCTCTCTCTCTCTCTCTCTCTCTCCAACCAACCAAATACAAGTATTTTAGTTGTTATTCCTTCTATAAACTTGTTTAAGTTCTTTTTACAAGTTAAAAACAGGACCACCTATTGTTTGTTCTTAAACCCAAAATGAATTTTGAGAAAGGATCATTTTAAAATTAATAAAAATAACAAAAAATAGGACCTTTACAAAAAATTTAAAATATTTTTTTCTAATAGGATTCGAGTCTCATTCATTCAGAAAAAGGACATACCTTGCTACTATATTATATTAACTAATAATACAAATTGCATGAATATTTATACTAATGATTTTTAGTGATAAACAATTAAAAGCTATATTTGGATGACCTGATTAAAAACCAAATCTTTCTTTTAAATGAAAGAAGAAAAGAAAAACCAAACAGAAAAAAAGTGCTTACATCAGAGTCCCAGTAGTGCCTCGATGAATCAAAACTGAAGAATCACCGCTAATTTGAATAAGTTGGTAATGGACAGAGTGATTTAGTGTCATCATGAGTAGTGATGAGGGAACAGATGTTGTCTCTTATACACATAAAGTAAGTAGTACAAAGCACACAACTTTTCTCTCATCCTTCTTGCCAAGACAAGGTTTTAAACAGAATCACAAATTTATTTTTCCTTTTCATTTTTCTTTAATGATCATAAATTCCGAAGTGTAGTTTGGCTTTGGGATCATAACAACTGATTCTGCATAATGTAACTATTCCATCTTGTCATTTTTTTATTTTTTTACCGAAAATCTTTGCACGTAATTTGATGAACTTAATGTTTCTGTCAAGAAATTCATTAGGAACTCCCACTTCATTAAAAAAAATCACGAAAAAGTTAATGAAAAGAGCTTAAATAATATATAACCGGTTAAAATTTTATAAAGCAAATAGCATTCAATTATTTTATCATATAACTTTATTTATAGATATGATGTGATAATCAGATAATTTTCATCTTGATAAATTAGTACAAGAAATGCTTAACTTAACTTGGAGTTTTTAGTCTGAGTAATTAATTGATATACAATCTAAGATTTTACTTCAGAAATCCAAATTTACTTTTTTACCAAAAGAAATCTAAAATTAGTTTCATAAGAACAGATATTAGTTATTTAGAAGTTTGTTAAGAAATGCATGATATAGATGAAAGCAAAAAGTATGTTTATGAGATTTATGTAATTTTGGGGTGTGTAGATATATGCTTCATTTGGGGAACAGAGGCATTATCTGAGTGTCAATGTTATTGTCTTATGGAAGAAAGAGTGAAACAGGCAGAAATGTACTTGCTTCTAATGATGCAGAAAAGGTACAAGTACATGAAGTAGCTTACACTGAATGTGATTTTTCCAGTTTTATTATTTTTCTCTTTTTCACTGTTAACTTTATGCAGCAAGCTTCTGTCTCTATGTTACTTGCGGAATATGTCTTTTGTGGTGTGAAAAAATGCTGGCAACTGGTGGTGTGTGATGCACCTTCGACAGTGTGTGAATTGGGTAAAAGAATCATCATGGAGATATCTGGGAAAAAGGTGTTTAGAAAGTTAACTCATAAGGAAGCCAGTGCTAGCTTTTTCTCTTTTGGTTTTTCCCATCATAGCCATCTCTTTGAAGTTTTCACATCTTGTAGACCATTATATTTGTATACGATTGAGAGGTTTAGAAAGTGAGAAATAAAATAAATTCATCTGGGCCATTGTGCTGAGAAGTTTTCAAGCATTCAGTAGTCACAGTAATGCCCACAACTGGTCCCTCTGATGGTTGCTTTGGTGATGGTGACTATGCTCTCCAGTGTTTTCAGATGCCAGACACTAAATTTTCGGTTTTAATTGTTTGGGGCAAGGGGGGGTTACCTGGGTTCATACAGTGAAACTTCACCTACAAAAGTTCATATTATGTATTAGGATTCAATTTTCCATTTGTTTTTTTGAAAGAGATAAAATATATTCTAATTATTTCTATATTTTTTTTAAAATCTTCAACTATAAGTTAATGAATATTCTTATAAAAAACATTGAATAAACTCAATATATCCTAATCTAAAATTTTTTAATTATATAATAAATTTGTTGAAGAAAAATATGATATGATTTTTAAGATATAAATAAACTTAATTCGATAAGTTAATAAAAAAATTTCGAAACAAATCGTATTAAAAAAAATATGACCAGGATAATTTTATATAGAGATTTAAATATTCATATGTTAGATTATTCTATTAATATGGCAAACCCGTTTTACAAAATTATAATAGTTTTTTAAATAAAAATAAAAATATTATTTTATTTAAAAATATATGTATATTGTAAATTAATTTGATAAATAATTTACTATTAAATATAAAATTAATTTTTTTAATATCTACTTATTTCAGAATTTAAAAATTAAGATTATTTTATATTATTAAATTACTAAAAAATAATATGATAATAAAAAAAATAAATTTTAAGTCCTATTTTAGATTGAATCAGAAATAAAAATTAATTTTATATATTAAATTATTATATAAAATAATTAATTTAAATTTTAAAAATATATTTGTTTTTTTTTAATAATTATTATTTACTTTTTATTTTCAACCAACATAATAATGAGACTATATCAAAATTGATAATTTTTTAAAATATAAGTTACACTTTATCTTCACTATTTTTTACTTAATTAATAAGTCATACCAGATTGAATCATGGTAGTAGTTTTGGTAGCTCTAATTATGTCATTTCCATTCTTACCCACGAAAAAAAAATCAAATTTCAATTAAATGAATTTGCTCGGGTTGTATATAACTTGCTTAATGTTAAACTAGAATTTTTTTCAAAAAAATAAAGAAAATAATTTATTTTTAATAATATTTTTCTAATACATTATTTTAAAAAGGGCGATACCAATTTATTTAATAACCTAACTTGTCATTAGCAATATTAGTGAAAGTTGATTAATTAATAGTAGATACACAGATAATATGGTATATGATGAAGAGTAAGACGGTAAAATTGTTTGATTAGTCAAAATTGATAACAGAGAATGATTCATTTTAACCATGAAAAAACACAATATTGTTGAAGACTTAGCATAATTGAAAGATTTTGCTCAAGTAGTTGTACTGCACAGCAATATAGGAACCAACGTAGGCTTCTATTTCCATAAACAGGTTAAAAAAATCACAAAAGTTGTTGCAATTGATTCACTTACACTTTTTAGGATTTCAACCTCAATTGTCTTCAAATGAAGAGCATATTACATGAATGTGTTAGATTTATTCTTGAAGTTTAAGTATGAAGTTTTAGGAGAGTTTTCAAGATTCAAAGTTTGGATCAAAAGTCAACGTCACCCTAAAATTTAGGGTTTAAGGTATGATAATGGAAAAAAACACAGCTCGAATCAATATAATATCTTCTATAAAGGATCTAGGATCAGTAACCAACTTACTACACCCTCACACTATGCAACAAAATGAAGCAAGTGAGAGAATGAACAAAATGATAATGGACATAACTAATGTACGATGCATAAGAGAGGATTTCTATAGAAGTTTTGGATAAAAATTATTAATACAATTTTGTTTTATTAGTGTATAATAGAATTTTTATATATGTTATTTTAGTATTTTTATATTATATATATTTGAAGTTAATGTATGAAACGTAAATTTATGTCAGAAATAATAATTAATATTAATTATATAGAGAATCGACATCAATTTACTTTAAAAAATACAATAAATAGACGTAAAAGGTTTTAAATATTAAAAAATTGGATGAAATTTACTGCTGGATGTGTCAATAACCGATGTAAATTTATGTCTATTATGACTTAGTCCGACATAAATTTACGTTGGATATTGACACATCTGACGTAAATTTTGTCTTTTTTTTAATATTCGGTTTGTTTTATCTTATAATCAAAACCTGTAAATATATTTTAATCACATATAATCTAGATTCCAAATTTTTAATAGACAATAATTCAAAAATACAACAATACAATATAATACAATTTATAAAAACTAAATTAGTACAAATACTAAAGTACTTAAAAGCTAAACATTACAAAACTAAACTAATACAAAGATTAAACTAGTATAAAAATTGAGCTACCTAAATTCTAAATTATATAATATAATACAAACAATAACCTACAAACTAAGTACTATAAATGTTGAACGAAAAACCTTGTTCGATTGCTCTCTACTTTGTGTAATATCATGTTCCAATGGAAAGATGAATATTGAAATACTTGAAACATTAATTTGACTCCCATTAACATAAAATACGCATAAAGGTAAATTAACTTAACAAATGTTGAAAACAATTATCTCCATCCAAAAATCAGTTATACTCGCATAAACTATGACTCTCATCCAATACATGATATAGTAGTCATATTTAAAGGAGTCTCATGACGAATTTAATTTAAACAACGAACAGGTAGACAATATTAGATTGTAATATCTGTATAAGTCAAGTATTTCTGTTATTTCTTTTGTTTTTTACTTCCGTTATAACAACCTCATTAGAGTTGTTATATACTCTGTATAAAGACCTCTTAAAGATAATGACATAGTGCAGTTTTTCACAGTCTGTAATATCATTTTCTCCTGTATTTGTTCTAACAGAAGTGGTATCTAGAGCCTCGGGTTTTTTTCGGGGACGTTGGCGCTTAGGGAGTTACGATTGCAGAAGAAGTTCAAGGTGCTTGAATCAGTGTCAATCAAGATTCAGTCTCTTGATCGTGTATTAAGGAAGAAGAATGGTCGGAGGTGACAGTCACATTCCCTCATCAAATCTCCCAATCTTGAATGAGAAAAATTGGGATAGATGGAGTACCTAGATGAAAGTTTTGTTCAGATTTCAGGATGTCAGTGATGTAGTTGAAACAGGCCAGGTGGTTGCTTCCGGTTCGGCAGAGGCACGAACGGAGATGTTGGCAAAGAAGGATAGCAAGGCATTGTTTCTTATTCATCAATGTGTTGATGACATTCATTTTGAGAAGATCCAAAATGCGAACACTGCGAAGGAAGCCTGGGACATTCTGATTAGAAGTCATACCGGAGGAGATAAGATCAAGAAAGTAAAACTTCAAACCTTAAGGAGACAGTATGAGTTACTACAAATGGAAGATGGAGATAGAATCAGTGAATATGTCAATAAGGTACTCACAATAACTAATCAAATGAAGAGTTGTGGAGAGTCAATCTCTGATCTGATGGTTATTGAAAAGATCATGAGATCGTTGCCGCAAAAATTCGATTTTATCGTTGTAGCAATTGAAGAATCGAAAGACTTATCACAAATGAAGATTGAGGAAATTCAGAGCTCCTTGGAGGCACATGAGATGCGGCTGATGGACAGGAATGGTGGAAGAAACACAGAGCAGGCCTTGAAAGCACATCATTTCATGAAAGGTGACAGAAACAATAAGTGGAAAGGAAAACAAGCTAAGAAAGAATGGAAGTCAGATAAAGTTGTTCATGATCAGAGTGATGAGTCAGACACAACTGAGAAGAATGGAAAGACAGAGAAGTATCAAAAGAAAAAAAATAAACGAAATATAGAATGCTTTAAATGTCACAAGTTGGGTCATTATGCCTCTGAATGCAAAACAGACAAGAAAAAGAAGAAATATCAAGAAAAGGAAGCACATATGGCAGAAGAAGATTCTGATTCTTCTGATTCTTCCGAACCATTAACTCTGATGGTGACCACTACAGCAGGAAGTTCAAACTCACAAACTGAGTCTTGGTACCTGGATTCGGGATGTTCAAATCACATGACCTGTCATAGGGAATGGCTTATCAATTTCAATGCAGAGAAGAGAAGCAAGGTGAAATTTGCTGACGACAGTACGTTGAAAGTTGAAGGAGCTGGAGATGTAGTCATCTTAAGAAAGGATGGCTCGAGGGCTGAGATTACAAACGTTTTGTTTGTTCCTGGGATGAAGTGTAACCTTCTCAGCATAGGTCAATTGGTACAGAAAGGATTCACTGCGATAATGGGAAAGTATGATAGGATCGAATTATTTGATGAAAATAACAAACTGATTTTGAGGAGTAAAATCTCAAAGAACAGGACGTTTCAGGTTGATATAAATGCAGTTGATGTACAATGCTTGTCTGCAGTTGAGAAGGAAGATAAGAGTTGGCTTTGGCATCTAAGGTATGGTCATTTAAACTTTAGAATCTTACAACAACTCAACAAGAAGAAAATGGTCTCTGGATTGTCCGAGATAAAATTGCCAAAAAATGTGTGTGAGATTTGTCTGGCTGGAAAGCAAACCAGGAGACCATTCAAAGCGCAGTCAAAGATGAGAGCCAAAGACTGTCTGGAAGTAGTATACTCTGATATATGCGGGCCTTTTGAAGTACCTTCAGTGGCTGGAAATAAGTATTTCATTACCTTCGTAGATGAGTATAGTAGAATGGTTTGGTTGTATGTGATAAAGTTGAAGAGTGAATCTTTTAAAGTCTTCTTGAGATTCAAAGCCAATGTTGAAAGGGAAAGTGGAAAGTTACTAAAGACTCTTAGAACAGATGGGGGAGGAGAGTTCACCTCTAACACCTTTGAAAGCTACTGCAAAACGAATGGCATTATGCATGAGATAACAGCACCGTACACACCTCAACATAATGCAGTTGCAGAGAGAAGAAACAGGACGATTTTGAACATGGCAAGGAGTTTGCTAAAGGAGAAGGGACTACCACATAAGTTGTGGGGTGAGGCAACGTCAACAGCTGCATACATCCTTAATAGGTGTCCCACAAAAAGGTTAGAAGGAGAAGTTCCTTTGAAGGTTTGGTCTGGTGTAAATCCAGCAGTCGGCCACTTTAAAGTCTTTGGGTCTTTGGCATTTAAACACATACCCGATCAAAGG